TCTAGAGGATTTTGGGAATTTAGCGGTCGAACGGTATTTTATGTTGATGACAACAACGCAATGAGATGATACTGAAGTGAAATGCGTTATCTAGAACCACGGTTTCAAGCGATCCATATGTTCCAGAAATACCGTAATCATCTGCCCTTATCACTTCCTGTACCCCACCGAACATGTTCACGTCCTACCCTGTACATCTCTTCTTGGAAACCACGCCCCACTGCTGCTGGGGGGGGGGGGGGACACGCGCTATGAATTTGGTGAAATTTGCGTTCCAGCGCCTCTTATCAACCCTTATCTGCCCTTATCACTTTCTGCACCCCACCGAACATGTCTCGTTCCACGCTGTACATCACTTCTTGGAACCAACGCCCCAACACTGCTGGGACACGCGTTATGAATATTATAAAATTGGCGTTTTGGCGCCTTTTATCAGATCTCATCGGTCGGTATCACTTTACAAACCCCACCAAATATGTTGCCGTCTCACCCCCTACACCATACTCAAAATACACCGTTATCATGCCTGCCAGCCGAAGCGCGCTTATGAAATTTTCGTGAACGAAGGCGTAGTACTGACAGACACACACACAGTGACGACCTACAGGTCCGAGATCCGTAAGTTGGGGTAGGCGTGTCACCGGAAGTGACGTGGACTTGATAGAAGTTGCGTAGATAAGTCGTTGCCAGCATGCTTTGCTGATATCTCGCGATGTATATTGGAAGCCCCTTATCCACATAGATTCTATCAAGTACACGTCACTTCCGGTGACACGCCTCCCCCAACTTACGGATATCGACTGTACTTGGCGAATTATATATAGTAGGATGGCTTCGAGGAATTCCGAAAGCAATGAGTGCGTTCCGTGTCGAATGCTTTCTTGAAGTCGATGAAAAGATAACATAGAGGGATTCGATATTCTCGACATCTTTCTGTAAGCTGAGAGATTACGTGGATTTGATCAATAGTAGTAATAGTATAGTAGTATTTGATCTTCACGGAAACCAGCTTGCTCTCGGCATGTGTTCATTTGAGAATTCGAAGGATGCGATTCAGGATGATGCGTGAAAAGATTTTGAGCATCACCGAAAGAAGCGCTATCGGGAGAAGTTAGCCGAAACATCACGTGGTCCTTTTTTATGCACCAAAACCAGGTTTGCTCCGCCCGCTATTGGCGCATCAAAAAAGGGCAGGGAGGAACCACGGAATAGCAGCATGGAACCTCACTATAGAATGCATTATTTCTCCTTATACGCCTTCTCCGCGGCGCATAAGAGCGCCATGTTCTCGCTCCATTTCTTCTCTCCCCTTCTCTCCCCCTCTCCTCCCTCCCACCCTCCGCTTTCTTGCTTCCTTCCCTCTACCCCTCTCCCCGCTCCCCTCCACTTCAGCTGCCGCGGCAGCACCATGTAGAATGAGACTGAGTGTGCTCGATCGGTGTTTATATAGCCGCTGTGGGTTTATCATGATCATGACATCAACATCACGAAGTGTTGCCCTTCGTACTCCCTGGTTTTGTGAGCGGTCGGTCCGGACGGACAGAACGACACACGCACACACACACCGACAAACCGACACACCAAAGTTCTGGTTTATATAATGAAGTGAGGAACCTAGCCATTCTTTCGGAACAGATCGTGATGCAAGTATTTCCGTAAATATGTCCGCTATTGATCGCGCAATATACCCTTGTAGGCATTTTAAGTGCTCTGCTCGAATCTGGTCTGGTCCGGGTGTTTTTCCTCCTTTTGCTTGCCGGATAGCCAGCGCCACTTCCGATTCCAAAACTCGCCATTCTTCTTTATCGGATACATCATCTTCTTTTTCAAACGGCATCGTGAACGGTTGCACTTGTACTTTACTGGAAAACAAATCTTGGAAAAGCTTTGTATCTCTTCTTCATTTCCTTTCGATTTCGCACAACAGAGCAGTCTGACTTTCGTTAAATAGTCAGGAGTGTATTGTTTTCAGGCGAGTGCTGATAAATGTCTTCTTGATACTTGCCGACTTTTCGGCTGCTTTTCGCGCTTCCTCGTGCTGCATATTCTTTTATAATCATCTTTAACTCTGTATCGTATAGCACTTGTTTAATACAGTTCGGGACACCGGGGTCAAAATTTCTTCTACTTCTTTTCGAGTTGCCATTAGTCGTAACGTAGCAGAACTTAATCGTTCTCTTGGTTTTCTTTGGACGCGCTCAGAAGCATTTTTTTTACAACTGGTTCGAATGGCGGAGACAATTTTTTCGTATCTGATAAGCACATTTACATATTCCGCAGAAGATCGCCAGTAGGAGCAAGTGCTTCAATCTTTCTACGGGTGGTATATATCGAAATTTTTCGTGGTGCGATGGTGTTTTTTTTTTTTTTTTTTTTTAGGTTTTTTTTGAGGCCAATCGTATTCGTTCTTATTTGAGTCTTAATGCTATTGTTGCTCTGACTATTCGATTGTCCGAAGCAATGTTAAAATGCGACTCTCCGATGACCTTCACGTTATGGAAAAGACGTAGGCAATTGCTTAAGAAGAAGTCTCTCATAGTACATCTGCCTGTACGGGGTATGGTGTGTTCATCGACGTCCTTTGTGTTTCTGAAAGTACGAGTTTGCCACAGCTCATCAAGATCATTCACGAAATTGGGCCAAAGCTCCGCCACGATTATTCCATAATCCTACGCCACGATTATTCCTTCCTGGATTCGATGAACCAACTAAGTTTTGTTCAAGATTTCCTCGGCTAGGTGAGCATTGGAATCACCAGCGCACACGATGTATTCCTTTTAGGAGAATTGGCTTATTGCCCTTTCCAACATATCATAGAATTCCTCTACAGCATCATCGTCGTAAGCTCCAGTAGGCGCATATGCTGATATTATCTTCATCGTGGTATTTTTGCCTAGTTCAAGAACGAGCACCGCAATTCGTTCAGAAAACATGGTAACAGGATAATCTCATCTGCAGATCGCGGGCTTCATAGCAAAAGCCATTCGTTGATTTTTCGCTGGGCGATCCTGTCCTAAGGATCAATTGCATGGTCTGTATGCCACTTCCATATTCCTGCATAATGCCTCAGCGTTTTCTGTACACATGTCACATCCACAGCACATCTATCTAACTCTGATATCAGCTGTCTATTCTGGTAAGTCCACGAGTGTTAATCGTAGCAGTATTAAAGAATCAATTTGACAGATCACTTTTCGTGTTCCTGCCCTCTGCCAGTGTCCTTTCTGCTAGGAAGAACGGTGGCTGCACGGGACTAAGGGTACATTTTCTTCGACTTCATTCACAGATGCTGATGGCTTGGACATTCCCCATCGCCTAGCCAAAACTGGCAGTAATCCACTGCCAGAAGTGGACCTTTCCAAGAGGGACCCGTTTTTAGCCTCACTCGACACATCGTTGCTCCGGCGCAACGAATGATCTTTTCATCGAGTAAGATTACACCATCCCACCATAATTGGGTAACGGATAGGGTATGTATGTATGTATGTATGTATGTATGTATGTATGTATGTATGTATGTATGTATGTATGTATGTATGTATGTATGTATGTATGTATGTATGTATGTATGTATGTATGTATGTATGTATGTATGTATGTATGTATGTATGTATGTATGTATGTATGTATGTATGTATGTATGTATGTATGTATGTATGTATGTATGTATGTAAGTATGATGTATGTATGTATGTATGTATGTTTATGACTCGATTAACGTGAACAGACATGAGAGTAAAACGGTGGATACGAGAGATTGCGCAAAGAAGGACAGGTCCTAGCGGCTCGCAACCGTCCCCAGTCGATGGCGACTCCTTGACTGTCCTCGGCTTTTTCCCCTCGTTGTTGTCGTTCGCGGGTTCGTCGCGGTCGTCCTATCAGTCCTCGAGATCTAAGAGAGAGAGAGTTGAGAACTATCAGAGGAATCGATTACAGTATCTCTACTGATAGCTACTTCCTTTACACCTCCCCGACAGCAAAAAGTCCGTCCCGGACTTGAGGACTTACCCGAACGGAGAATAGAATAACAGGAACGGGAGCATACCGATAGGCTGAGAGCGACTACAGTAGTGAATATGGTGGTGCAGTGACGACAACGATAGCTGGGTAATGGTTGGATATAAATGTGCGGTTAGTGGATATTTCGAGAAAAGCGGTTATGAGGATGGTATCCAAATAAAATTTAGAAAAGATCCGTCAGCCGGTCCAATGGGATGATGGCACTTAATTGATGGGCCCAGTTGACCAGCACTCCCCAATTTGGTAAGGTTCGTAGGGTGGGGACATGGCCAAGAATGAATTGTCCATTTCGGCAAACGTGTAATCGCTCCGTTTAATCGAAGGGGATCATCGATGAAAGCTGGCGGTTTCGGGTTTCAAGCCCGTGCCAGTCGTTAAGAGGATGACAACTTCTGGATTGAATCCACTGTCGCCAATTTCGAATGAAAGATAGGAGTTGTGTACGTTTAGCTGGCTGGGGATTTGGAAACTTGATACGGTCAAGAAGTAGACGGCGTTATTTTTCTGGCACCCCACTTATTAAGGAACCGCTGTACGAGAGAATATTAGCCAGCTCATTAAGGTTGGATGGGCCTGAAGGTGGTTACCAAAGCTGCTTTTGGGACTCCCGACGACCTGTCCAGTACCGAACATTATGCTTTGACCGCCAAATAACGCTGGATTGGCATCACTCGGGCATCTAACATGGGGACGCATTTGGTGTATATCTCCAATGTACAGTTGCCGAGCGTGAGGAAACATAGTGACGAGACATGCTAAGATAGGTTCTGGCACTTGCGATGCTTCGTCGATGATAATGATTCTACGGTCAGTGATGTGGCTCTTAAAAATTCCTCCTTTGGCCGTCGTATTGAGAAGCGATGCCGTGGTCAAAAGCACATCCGGGGACGTACGTCAAACATAGTTCGAACTACTTTCTTGACGCACTGTAATATATCCTTTTCGGCCAGAATGTATTCTTCGATTTCCTTCACTGTCATATCCATCGATCGTTCTGGGTTCTTGGCATACCGTTCATAGAGCAGTCGACCTCGACGAAAACGAGAACAGTACTCCCGTTCGGGGTTCGGCACACGTGCTCTGTGGTATCCATCATGGAAGGGGTCGGAGAACGGTAGCCGACGTTAACTGGAAATTCTGACAATAACGAAGAGCCTCTGGAGCCATCCTGGTCGTTGGTTCCAGAGCGGGACTCCGGTGTTCCCAAGAGGGAATCGACATCCATGGATTCATTATCCTGTTCATGTGCGTGAGAAACTGCTGTATCGGCCAAGGTATGGCCATAAGGTTGCAAAGGGGGACCCGCCCCGGTACCTGATTCTACGCTTATTCGACCGCCGTTTGCGTTGGCCGCCGTGGCGTTGCCCATTGGGACAGAGTCGCTCATATCGAACGCAATCTGAAATGAAATATTGTCAGCTGTTGGTTTTCTACAGGATATTTCCCCAAACCGCGATAGTCTCCGTTTTCGCAAAATTTTAAAAGTACATGAAAGCGCTCGAAACTGAGTTATGGGCAGGAATTCATGAGTGTGTGGATTAGAGAACAGATTGAGGCGGATCTCAGAAAAGAACTCTGTACATTACCGTTCTACCGGTTTAATTGTCCAAGGTTGAGGGACCGTTCGAAGACCCGGATTGTAGACAGCAAATCGGTGAGAGTCAACACGGGATAAACTGCTAGTGCCTATACCATTTGAAGTAACTAGTGAATGCTCTCCTATCCTCACACTTCCGGGGAGAACCTGCTTTTAAGGGGTTGAAAGTGTTCCTGATGCAGTAGTTGTCTCTCCCAGAGTTCTACGGAGCTTATCACGAACTATGAAAAAGGATGACATCGTGCTTGCTGATACTCGGGTCAATGTCTCCACAGCGATTCGCTTTTCCGAGTCGCCTGCCTCGGTAGGAAGATCAGCTCGCTCTGTGCAAGCTGGTCCGTCCAATCATCCCTTCCCATCCGCAAGAGGGACTGCTGCCGTTGAAGATTTTCGATATTCCTCGTGATGATAGGGACTGGATCGATGACCGAATTGGTAGATTCACAAACTACTTCAAGAATCCCCGAGAAGCCCACCACAAAATGACCCGCTGTTCAATGAGGGCTGCTCTGCTCTGCTTGCCATCGAAGGTATGAACGACGACCAGTGCACAAGGAGACTGACAGCTACAGTACCCAGCCTTACTGCTTTTCCGATTCGGTTCCACTTCACTTTGCGCCTGGAGTCAGAAGTCGGCTGGACAGCGAATCGCTCTGTGTTTTGTGGATAGTTGGTGCTGCTTCTGTTGTGCGCGTCTCCATTCTGAGAACAAAATTTGACCCTTAGAGAAGGACCCTCGATATCCTACTCGCATACGGTGATCGCTTTTCTATCTGATAGAAATTAAAAAGCAAACCAACTGCCTGGGAATCATCATCCTTTACAAAAAAACGTTCCACTCTTAATAATGCCGACTTGCGAGGGAAACTCAATGGAAGGAGAACTATGGTGTCTGTCAAGTTATGACGAGGGAGAAACAGTTATGAGAGCCAAGGTATGGCTAAGTGGTGACCGGGACATGTTCGAGAGGGGCCTACAACGAATTCATGCGTTTTTCGAATCGAGTGTTATAGGGATGGGTTATTAAAGGTCTTCCCGCCTCTCTGGGAGTCGTGTAGGAACGTGCATAACCCGGAAGAGGGTAATCCTCAGCCTGACAGTAGATCAATGCCGTAGCTTCTTCTTCGGGGAGCCAGGGAGAGGTAAACACGGGTCCGGACAAGAGGTGGCATTTTTTGACTTGGTTCATATAAACTTTTTTTTTTGGGGGGGGGGGGGAGACAGAAGGAAATGCCAACGATCACAACATGAGGCGGGTTGTCCCTCTCCACTGAACATTATTCCTCTTTAATAGTCTTAGTCCCAGCCACGGCATGCACAGCTTAGCGGAAAGGCCGGCCGGAGGGGAGAAGTTTCTTAAGTAGACCCTATCACCCGCCTAAACCTCCAGCGGTGGCAAGTGATGTTTATCATACTGTGTCTTGTAGCTCTCACGCTGTCTCATGTTGAAGAGATAGGCGGACTCCCAAGCCGTGTGAAGAACTGGTAAAAGGCGCTCTATATAGGTGTACGCATTTAGAGGAATCGGGTTAGGGGAACGTGACGCTCCTCAGGCTGCGCGAATAATTAGGTTAATATTGAGGGTAGGATCTCTTCCGAACATCAAAAAGAAGGGCGTGTTCCCGGTGCTGCTATGAGTGGAGGTGTTATACATGAAGGTACATGCTGGAACAAATTGGTCCCAGTCGGTCTGAGCCGCGCCGATGTATGAGCGCAGCATCACTTGGAATGTTGCGAAAACTCGTTCACATGCTCCATTTCCTTCATGGTGATACGGTGTACAAAAGAATCTATGAACGCGTAACAGTTTCCCTAGCTCAAGGAGGGTGTCGGACCGAAAATAGGAGGCGTTGTCAGAAATGGTTCTGTCATAACCCCGTGAGGATGCATTCATCCATGAGAACCCGTGCAATGGTGACCCGCGGAGCTTGGGAATGGCTACGGCTATAACACATTTGGAAAAATGATCAACCATGGCCATGATGTATCGGTTACCGGTTCTGTGATATGCATTTGTCCGGTAAGGTAGATGTAAACCTTATCCAAAATTGCTACTGGGACCATGGGTAGCAGGTCTTCTCGGTTATGCGCAGCTGCTTCTCGTGACATATTCGCAGACACGGCACAGCCTATAGACATCCTCGGCCATATGGGGCCAATAGTATCTGCGGGTGAGTTTCGCGAGGGTCTTACGCCAGAAAAAGTGACCTCCTGCCGACGGGCTCTCATGGTAGTCTCGAAAAAGCGCTTCTTTGAGTTGTTCTGAGACCACTATAAGGTCGTGAGCGCTGCCTGGGATAACGGGAGGGGGTCGCCGGTAGTACAGGCAACCGTTGGATTTGATGAAGCATCAGTCAGCGATTTGGAGTAGTGAGGGTTTGCGTGCGTTACGTCTGCACTGAAGTTACCATGACGGAGAAAGTGGGAAATGTCTCGGCAAAACTGATCCCGTTGCTGTTCGACGAGGAGGTCGTGTGGGCGGATAGCTATGGGAGAATACTGCAACAACGGCGGCTGTTGAGTTTCCGGAGAACTAACCAAACAGCGCGGGAACTCAACGATATCCTCTCTCGGGGGAGTTGTCCCTGAACTGAGATGAAGGAAGGCTAACTCGCGAAAGACGATCGGCGACTGTGTTAGAGGAGCCTTTGAGGTACTCTATGGTAATATTGTAGCTTTGAAGCTCTACGATCCAGCGTGCGAGATTATCATGGATTTTGTTGTGCTCTAAAAGAAAAGTCAGAGGTTTGTGGTCGGAAAAGACGCGCGTGAGACTACCGTATATGGTGGCCCGAAAGAAGCGCAAAGCGCTAATCATTGCAAATAATACTATATGGGTGGGGCTCCAGCGTCGTTGAGAGTCGGATAATGTCTTACTGAAATAGCCAACCGCGACCAGCTTGGAACTACCGTCTGGTGCTCTTTAAAAAAAAGACCGGCTTTCACTGCTAAGGAACTACCATCCGTGCAGAGGATGAACTCCTGGTCGCGCGGATAAGCCAAACACGGTTTGCTAACGAGGCATTCTCGAAGAGCTAGGAAGGCTTCTTCCTGACGCGTACCCCAGATGATGTTAGCGCTGTCTCTTGTGAGCTCATACGGAAGGGCGGCTATACCGGCGAAGTTTCGTATAAAACGCCTGAAGAAATTGGCTATTCCAATAAATCTCTTAACCTCCTTAGCCGTCGTCGGTGTTGGAAACTCTTTTACCGCGCGGATGTTGCGATCTGCGGGACTGTACGATGAGTAAGCTAACTCATGGTGAAAAGGTGATCTTGGACCGAGCAATCTCAGTCAGTTTCTTGCCCGAAGTTTTAATGTTAAAAATTCGGAAACGTTCGAACACGGTCCGCAGGGCTCGCAAATGATCATCGAAGGTCTTATTGAAGACTATGATGTCATCAATATACGCCAAACAAGTGCCATCAAGGCCAGACAAGATGCGAGACATGGCTCTGCAGAAGTAAGCTCCCGCGTTACGTAGCCCGAAGGGATAATAAAGGATAAAGGATAAAGCATTTGCCGTTGATCAATCCCTTTTTGGGATGCGGCACGCATTCTACTTCCATTTGTACATTCGTAGTGGCGTTTGAATGCGATGTGGCCTATACAATGACTTGCGGGGGCCAGCCGATGTACAAGTCAGTGTTTTTATCCTCCCAGACAAGTCTGGTACCAGCCCGAAGGGTAAGTAAACAAATTGGTATATACCGCGGTGCGTAGCCCAACCGCACTTTTCCTGACTCTGCGGTGACATAAGTAACTGCATGTAGCCCGATGCGAGGTCCAGTGTGGTGTGATATTTCCTGCAACCTTGACTAATAAATCTTCGATTCGGGGTAGAGGGTAGTGGTCCGGAATAGTCACCTCATTAAGTGGACGGAAGTCCAAACAAACTCGTAAGGAGCCATCGCGCTTCTTAACCAGGATGGTATTATGGATCCAAGGGGTGTCGCATTCAACAATGCGACCAGCCTTAAAGAGTTTGTTGATATGTTCGTCTAGTTCCTTTTGAAACCTTACGGGGATACGTGGGGGTCGGAACCTGGTGAGGGGCGACTCGGTAGTGGTTTTGATATTAACCAAGGTGTGAGTATATGAAGGTCGTAACTAGAGTGTGAAATACGGTCGCGAAACTCTGAGAAAAGTTGGTAAAGTTGGGCTTCCCCAGCGTCAGAGACCTCGCACTGAGACAGGTCGATATTAAGCGGTTGATGAGAAACTGTTGTGTCGCGGTCGGTGACCGCAATGACAGGGGTTTTATCATGACCGTGATTGTCAGTCGATGCCTCGAATAAGGCTCCTGAGTCATCCGTAGCAAGGGGGACCGCCGCAGCCACTTGTTGGTGCTCATACAATGCTTCAGGTCTGGAGAAAGGGTTTGTAACGAGCAAAAAAGCACGACCTGGATGAAGTACTGCTGGGGCTATAAAGAGCTGTTTCCTGTATACTGCGGCGGGTTGGGCTGTCAACATGATGGGATGCGAGGTGTTTGTAGGAGACGCGACGTAACAGGAAGCAATAGCCTCCGACCTGGGTAGTATGATGGACGTTTGTGCGACCCGGATCTTGATACCGTCACAAGGGGTCTGTGTCATAAAGCGCTGGTGTAAGTGAAAGGATGGGGACATTTTCTTGCCCGATAGTGAAGCGGCGAAGGTGATTATTGATACGCCATGATGGTGGCCGAGACAGAAGATCGCTGCCCAGGATTATATTGTACTTGTCTACCCAGCGTGGAATACACGATCCACTGGTGAAATATACTGTGTGACGATCGAGGTGGAGCCAATTTGTATGCGCACTCTAGCTGATCCTACGAGAGGAACGGGGATTCCGGCCATTCCAATAGCCGAACGGGTACTTGAAGGAGACATATGAAATACACCGATGAGATCGGTCATATCGCGGCTACAGACTGTGATTGCTGCCCCTGTGTCAATGAGGGCTAGCATTTCAATTGTGTTCACTCTGATGGGTATTTGGGTGATAAAAAAGGGGGATATGCCCAGGGCAAGTACGTGCGCTGGAGCAAGAGTAACCCGTGGTGGCCATACTGACCTTGCCTCGACAACGAGCTTGTTCAAAGGGGTGAGACCCGGCTGAACCGAAGAAACCCCTGGCACCTCCGGTGTTGCAACCACAATGGGTGTCGCTTGGCTAAGGGGAGTTGGGCGCGAAGGACTAGCATAGTTTCGTTGTGTTGTGACAGGAAGCAGTTCGTCTGGCAGTCCCTGATTAAGGTATATGAGAATCAGGTATCGTATGACCCGCAGCGAAACGACACAACCACACATCATGATCCATATGTCAAATACGGTCCAACTGCCCAGCGATCCTAGTGAAAAGGGAGAGTTGGATGTGGAGCGCCCGTACAACGTAGAAACTGCTATATCCTGAGCCCGTTTAATATGTTCTTTCACCCTTTGCTGCTCCAGAGCCACGCCAAATTCCTGGAGGCGAGGTCCGTCTGCCACTTCCGATAAATTGGTAATCATTAGGTTGCGGAAAATAGTCAATGGCATAGAGGCGTTAACCAGTGCTGACCTCCTGACTGCGTTAAAGTGAGTAATCGCGCGTGGGGGTACGAGGGCGATAGTGCCGGAAGCTCCGTCAACTCGAGCCAGATTCGTGCCGTCGGAAATGTAGAAATGTTTCGCTTCGTGGCATGGTTTCGTGCTAGCACTGTCTTCGACTATTGCCGTTTCCACGTTGAAGAAGGCCTGGTGCGTAATTCCAGCTGGAAGGGATATCGCTACCATAGCTCGGGAATAGCAAGTACTGTTAAAACCGATGAAGCGCCAATTGGCTGCTGGTAGCGGTATACACTTATGTACTTGTACCAAACCATTGCCCAGGTAAGTAGCTAGATGTCTAGTAGCTAGTAGCTAGATGTCCTGGCGTTCCATTAAAAATCTGGTAGTGATGGTTGGCTGGGTGGCGAGGGCTGTTTGGATCGTCAACCCAAGCAAGTTTACACGATCACAAAGGGCGGTGATGGCATGCCGAAATAATGCTAGTACAGAGTCCTTTGTAGCCCCTTCAACCGCAAGAAGCTGGGCGGACAATTGGTGTGATGTTACCACGCCGACTGCTGTGGAAAGGGAGCGAGAGGGCCGACGGGCCATCGTAACGGCGTACCCTTGGTCCGTAATCTGGAAGGTTCTACCACAGTCATAAATTGGCTCCGAGGAGGTGGACCATGAGAAGGCAAACTCCCGGGAATCGCTCAACCAGATATTCCCAACTCGGTGGCCTCGCAACTTACCTACAGGAATAAACTGACATGCTTCTTCTAAACTGGGTGACCAAATCAGGGCTGAACCATCTCGCAACGTACAAGCGCCATCGCGATATTTGCAAGAACTCATGTCCCCCGCTAAAGCGTCAGGGTGATCGTCTCCGTGTCTGGCTATATGGTGGTCGCGAACATCATGCAATTAGTAACCGAGACAGTACGCTGGGTACAACAACCAAAAGGGGCAGAGGGCCAGTCAACAACTGAATCATTAGTTGTACGCCAGATATTGTCAGCTTGCGACATTGTGCCATGCTCACAACGGTGGTGGGTGGCCATCATACGACATTGCTCTAGGGTGACCGCGAGCATCGTTTCGGAGTGACTAATGGAACGGTACCCGAAAAAATTAACCGAGAAAATAGCGGAGTTAGTTACTATTTTGCACCAATGCTATTTATCACTATTTATCGTATCACTATTTTGCATCGGATGGAGTAGCGTCTAGTGTTGGGACGAAAAATATTTAGAGACAAAGAATCAACTGTAGCATTCGTAGATGGCATAATATTCGAACAATTATACGAAAATTTAATGCGAATAATCTGGTCATGAGAGTCAGATGGGCACAGCCAAGCAGAAGGTTGCATTGCTCATGCCGAGTAGAGAAAGTGCACACACAGTCAAAAACAAGCAACTCACGGATGGGGAAGAAGAAGATGCAGCTGAAGATGAAAGCCGTGTTCCAGGGTGTTGCCCCTGAAACACGCGTTGAGACAATTCATGATTGCGCTTAATCAAAGCATTATCTGCAGCTGCTGAAGTTGGGGATCCACATGCCTAGTGACTGTGATGGTGGAGTTCCAAGTCCCGATTCTAACGGGTCGATTTTCGGATTGGTACCCTGGAAGGCCATCATATGAGGCTGGGAGGATGAACGTGGCTGCTGCGGTGTAAGGGGACGAACCGTGTTGCGTGATTCCCTTGCGAGGCGTGCGTGTTGGCGCGGACTTAGAGACATACGTCCTACTTGGGCTAAGAGAGCTTGAACCTGCTGACTGTTTAGGTGGGAGGCAGGGTGCATCAACTTGTCGCTGGTAGCCTCAGCCAGAAGCTGTTCTATCATTTGAGCTCGCGCTACAGCTTGTTCGAAGCTGTTAGGGTTTTCAAGACGTACAAAATAGCGTACGTCT